TTTTTTTTTTGTGTAATTCTTATGCACTAAGAGCATCTTCAATGGAACATTGTCCATTTTATTGAATAGTGAAGAATGGAAATTAAAAAAATGTGTCTCCAATGGCAATGGTAAACATTAATTGTGTGTATAAATTGTGATGTGTAAAATTGTAATTGGTTGAAAAAAAAAAAGATAAATTAAATAAATAATATAATATATTGTGGAAGTTGTTTAGATTTTAGAATGGCTTTTACAGACTAGAAGTCTTTCCAGACATTTACCATGCCACATTTGATTATTTGTGTCGCAATAGAAAATAAGAATAGAAAATAAGAATAGAAGAGCCATTGGAGATACTCTAAAGAACCGTTGTCTGAGGAGTGCTATCTTCTGTATAAAGTTTGTGATTCAGCTAGTCATTTATGTTGAGAGAAGATAACAATATGGCATACGAATTAAAAACGAGAAAAGTAAACAACACAAGATTTACGTGGTTCGGCAATGTGCCTACGTCCACGGCGGCTGAGGGGTTTTTATTATTCTCCATAGTTTCAAATACATCAATACACCATGTATTTATACTATAACCCTGCAAGGTATTAATTTACTTAAATACCCCGTACCGTACCGCGGGGGCTCTGCCCCCGCACCCCCGGCCCAACTAATCGACCCAGCCCAACAAGGGTTGATGCCTGCTCGGTCACTCCGCTTCCCTCGCTACGTTCGCTCAGTTACGCTCGCAGACATCAGCCTGCCTCCTTCCTTTGTCAATATATGAGCCATATCAACAATTTATGCTTCCAACACTCCACTATTGTTATTTTATTTTTATTATTTTATGTTTGGTCCGTGTGTATGTTATATAATATCTTTATATATATAATTGTTAGCTAATCATTAAATAAAATCTCATAAATAAAAGCTACTTAATAAAATCTCATTTATTTTCCCTCCAAAAGAACATCAACATCAACATACCCAGTATATTCACAACATGATGGGTCTGGGGGGTCAGTTGTACGCAGACCTTACCCTTGTAATTATACAAGGAGACTGTTTCCATAGCGACCAAGGTGCGTTGCGTCGTTTGATATATTTTTTTCTAGAAACTTCACTAATAGAAGAAGCACTATAATTTAATTGAGTCATTTTGATCTAGTCCATTATTAGCAATTGTCAGGAGAATTGTCAACAATGACTCTTCCAGCTCCATATGCAATGGACATATCTTCCCTCCAAAAAAAGTTACAAATTTTGTCATTCATATTTTGCCTTTCACATTAATACACCCTATTAAGTGTAATCATGTAAAAAAAATAAATAGCATTAACTATTATTAATATAATAGCAAAAAAATAGCATTAACTACTATAATAATAATAATAATAATAATAATAATAATAATAATAAAGTTTTCAAGTAAATTATTTGACCATGATCCCTCCAAATTATAAAAATTATATTACCCACAATTTTTTTTAATCAATATAGTGATATGTACTCAAATAATTTATATAAATATTATTTTATTTTTAATAATGATTAAATCTGGAAAATGTGGTATGTCCATTATCTAGAATTTTAATATTAACTTCACATATCTTGAAAATGTGATATATATGTTTATTTTAATATTAAATTCACACATATTACTTATAATATTTTATGTACATCTGTGCATGTGCACATAATGATAACTAGTTATAATAATTATAAATTATAAACAGCATTAAATAATAAATTATAAATTGAATAATAGATAAATAACATCAAATAATAGTTATAAATTAAAGATGTGATGTTAACATGTGATATAAGTTACAATATAAAACTATTTTGTATAAAAGAAAATAAGACATCTCTTATATTAATGCAAAACCTTTTGAACCTAAGTGGCATATTCTCACGTTTCGGATGCTGACATGACGAAAATATATGCTTCATGATGTTGTTTTTATATTATTTTTACTCTGGAATTAAGTTTGGTATTATACATAAATAATTTTTATCCTATATTTCTTAACTTAACACCTGTGTTGTAGACGGGTATTGTACCAGTGTATGTTTAAAATACGAAAAACATGTAACCTAAGATTATCTAAAAAAATTATAAATTATTTTGTAAGCAAATAATATCTAGGAGTATTTAAGGAGGAGTTGGAAGAGAAAAAGGGCTCTTTCCTTGTTGGGGTTTTTTTCTTGGCCGAGAGGTGAGTGAATATGAAGGTAAGATCCCTTCTGCTTAGTTAATTAAATTTATAAATTGTTTAGGAATTATTAGATTAGGATTTTTAAATTAGTAATTACTAAAAGTTTAGAATAATTAATTTTTAGATTAATTGGATTTAAATAGAAAATTATATTAATTTGGTATATTAGATTAATTAATTAGCTTAACAATTATAAGGTTAAAGTTAAATTATTTTATATGTGTACCCAAAAAAATATATATTTTATATGAATTAAAATTGATTTCAAGAATTAATAGAACTTCTCAAGCTTAAAATAAATAACGTCGAGCTTCAATTTATTAAAAATAAACGAGACGCTACATTCTAAATAGTTATTTGAAAGAAACGATACAATGTAACTCACCTTCTAATGAGGCACTGCTACTACCGTGCGTCCTGGCACACCTAGCAAAGTGTGCCAAGACAATTTAAAATGAACACGTGTAATTAGGTACAAATAATAAAACATTTAGGTGTGCCCTGACACACCAGGGCACACCTAAGTATTTGCGCTAATGAGGTACTAATGCAATAAAAGAACTACAGTAAAAGAAAACCGCAACTCCCAGGCTCCCACCGAACCCCTAAAAAAATGAACTTGAAATAAAAGAAAAATTCTACGGGTCCGTTACGAAACTATTTTGTCGGGGTTTGTAACTGTTAGATCAATTATTCATGACAGTTACTTGATGATCTAAAGGTACAAATTCCAACGGAATAATTCCATAACGAAATTGTATCATTTTCCATAAATATATAAATCAAACAGTACCAGCATAAGAAATTAAGAATATATCAAATCGATAATTTTTTGTGCTAATAATAACCAAGCACACCCAGACTGAATTGGACAATTCAACTTAATTTTTCAAATCCTACTCGATTTTCTATACACTTGCATTTATTATGGTTCAATTTATGCAGAAACGCACCAGAACTTAAAAGGAGTGTAATCGTTTGGAATTTCTATTTTTTAAAAAAGATTTTAGAAATTCTAGTATTTTTTAACATTTTTTGACCTATTGAGACCCAAGCTTCGTTAAGTCTTCGCTTTAGTATTCATGTGAGACTAGTACAACACTCGTGTATTACACGAGTGCTTGCTAATTTTTTTCTTAAAATTTAAAATTAGTGAGAAAAAAAAGTTTGTAAATTTAAATACATTTTATAATAATATATATATTATTATATATTTATTATGATACATTTTATTTGTGTGACTTACTTGTGTTATATTATATTAATTTTTTAACTTACAATATATAACTACATTAAATATAAATATATCAATTGAGAAATAATTTTATTTTTCTAATGAATTTTAATAAATATTATTATTTTTTATTATTATAAAGATAAATATAGTTTATTTATTTTATATATACAATATGGATGTCAAGTCGAAGATCATCAAAAAATGATTAATTTGATATATTATATATGTAAAACTGATAAAAAATACAAAAGTTATCAACTTTTAAAATACATTTATAATTCAATAGCTTAGTGAAGGAAGCAAATCAAAATTTAGGGATATATTAGGCACTTAGTGTTTCACTATGTAAAATTACAAATAATTAAAGGGTTATATTAGTAAAAGTGATATTAAAATACCTAAGTTATCTAAAAAATATTTATGGAATACCCAAACCTAGATTATTAATTATTAATATATCAATATTATTTGTCCAAACCTAATTACGAAACATGATTCTTTGCCAAATAGGATTACGAAGCACCAGAAGCAGCCACGTAGGCTCAGCGCATTCAGTAATTATATATAAGGAGGATATCTCCTATATATAATTTACGAATATGTTGTGCCTAAGTGGCAGACTTGCGTTTTTCAAGATTCTACGTGTCAAAATTTCATTCTTCATTTTTTGACTTGGATAGATTTCAATTTAATTCAAATCCAAAAATAATTAAGTTCGAATTACCATAAATATATTAATTTATCTATTATTATTTTAGATATATTACTTGTATTTTAATATCGTTTCCTATTATAACCATTGAATTGTAAATCTATTTTAAAAGTTCATAACTTTTGTAGTAGTATTTCTTATCGGTTTTACATATGTAATATATCAAATTGATCATCTTTTGATGAATTTCTATTTGACAACCATATTGTATATAAAATAAATAATTTATATTTATCTTTATAAAAATAATATAATTATTTATTAAAACTAATTTCTGAAATAAAATTATTTACTAAATATATTTATTTAATGTAATTATATGTTATTAGTTAGAAAATTTATTATAATATAACAAATGTAAGTCGCACAAAAAAAAGTGTCAGTATAATATATATATATATATATATATATATATTATTTTATAAAAAAAAAATAAATTTTCAACTACTTTTTCTTAATAACTTTAATTTTTACGAACAAAAATTAGTAAACACCCGTATAATACGCAGGTGTTGTACTAATTAAATAGTATTACAAAAAGTATTTAACTAATTTATGTGGTATGCATACATTGGTGATATTAATATGTTCAAAAGCATACATCACCAAAGTGTGCATGCCATATATACGGTAAACATATTAACATGTGTCCGTGTCCACCGTGGATGAGAGAACATTAGTGTTTAATGATTTAAGCTTACAAGAATATAATATTTCTAATAGATTATCTCCAACTGATAAAAGGTATAACATAAAACTATAGAAGATAAAACTTTCCAAGGGCAGGAAAAAATAATAGAAAATCATAGTAGTATTTATTAAAGAAAAAGAAAGAAAAAAAATGTGACACGTAATAACACCAAGAAGCACACTTGCTCAATTCCCAATTGACAAGCTGCTAACTCTCCACGTGGCGCGTCACCACAACCCCAATACCTTCCCCCAAAACCAATTTAGCAATTTAAGGCAGCCAAAAAAGATAAGCTTTGCATGATAAAGAAAAAATACGAAAAAATACCATTATATATATATATATATATAAGCAAAAGAGGTGGAAAAAATAAAAAAAAAAAAAAAAAAAAAAAAAAAAAAAAAAAAGGTGACGCCAAAAACTATACCTTTATGTTCTTCGAATCACCACCTCCAAAGCCTTTTTCATTTTCTTCATAACAATACAAAAGGATCCCCACCTTTCAATTATACCTCCCCCTTTCTTTTCTTCCTCTATAATTCCATGATCCTTTATTCCCCACTCTTCTAAAGGACTTTCTTTTTATTATTTTCTCATTTTTATAAGAAGCAAAGGGAATTTGTTCTCTCTCACCAAATAAAAAGATGTGTTACCCCTTGAGTTCCGGTTTGGAAGATGGCCGTAAGCTGGCGGTAGCCACCACGGAAGAGGCGGCAAGAGGGCGGCAGCTGGTTCATGGAGGTGGTCGAATTGGCCGGATTGCAAAGGTATGTGTGTGCTCGCCCACCAACCACCCTGGTTCGTTCAGGTGCAGGTATCACCATGGGGAGTACCAGTGGATTACCAATAGGCCGGTAGCTAAGTCTTAGTGTAATTACCAATACTGTCCTGAGGTTTGAGCTAATTACAGACTCTGCTGTATGTGTCTAGTATGTCTCTATTTGAATAGACTATGCAAAAACTACAGGAAGGTATTTGTAATTTTCTAAGGTAATGGAATTTTTCTGCAATTAGACTTAAATGTCTGGGTAGCTTCTGTAATTATCGCTATCTAGTAGTTCAGTAACTGTATCTAGTCCTGGTAAAGTTTGAATTTCTTGTACAAACTCTAGGTTAGTCATAAAACGGAGGATTATTTGCTATACAAAAGTATACAAAGCCCACAACCCTGATATGATTAGTTAACAAAAGTTATAGTACATAATCAAGAATTCAAGCAGATGACTGCAGGTGCCTACATTCTCGAATAAGGGGTATAGAGCACTCATTAACATACTTCCTAAATATGTAAATATCATCGTAGAATTAAGTGCATTACAATACTATATAAATATCATATGCAAGTTCAAGAAGGTGCATACTGTAGAAACCTTGCTGAAAATTTACATGGTTTCTTCATATTCCGAGAATTGGCCCAAATGTTGCACTTCCTTGACTTGATCCTCATACCTGTTCAATATCAAATAATTGCATCGATTCATTCTATGCCAAATCTGCCTGTAAGAGAATGTTGGTCAAAATTTCACTGTGCTTGTGATGTATGCTTATGAAAAGAAGGAAGTGTAGAATATTCAGAAGCAGATTCAAGTCGGAGAGAAAAGAAAACAAAATATGTGATGTTACTATGTGTTAGAATTTGAGCCTAATTTCTAAGGAATTTTCTCTTGCACGTCTTCCATTTGCTAATAAACTCATAGCAAATATACAAAATTATGACTATTAGCATGCTACTAAACTCTGATGAAATGAAAGTTCACCTCAATCGGGGTAGCAATTTTGATGAGTTATTGTTTGGTTGTGTGTATTTACAATCACTTCACACCATATTCTTGCCTGCAGCAGATTATAAAAGAATGTTAATAAACATATTTGAACCAAATCCGTATAGAACTCCTTCCCAAAACAATGATTCTTAAGGGCTTTGAACTCAGAAGTTAAAATGGTTAACTAGACAAATTCATTTGAACCCCATGAAGAACAACATAACCTCACACGCGCGTGCACACACACACACACACACACACACACACACATATATACATATATAAAAAAATGTGCAACTATATAATAGCAGATCTCGCATTTGAACAATCAGAATCTCTATCTGAAAATGCCACAAGGAAGTCTAGGATAGGTTAAAAATCAAATAATGGTGCCGAGTGCAAGTTAATTTCCAGTGTCACGGATTATTAACAATGATTGGTACAGAAGTTCTGCAGCTCCATAGGCACATTCATTGAATTCTTTTTCCTTAAACTCTTACAGAACTAAACTAGGATCGATCGCTAAATAGGACACAAAAGTGCATTAAGATGGAAAGAAAAGAAAGCATCCAGCTTCTAATCACAAGACTCAGAGTTTCATTCATAACAATTCCTTAAATCCACACCCATGGCCAATTAATTGTCCCTGCTCCAAACTATTTTTAAAGTTTTGCAGGCTGTTGAGAACTACAAACCAGAAAAGAGGGTCACTGCAGTGCAGATTAAATCCTAAACTAATTCACACTAAAGCATATACTCCACAACCTACCATAATGCACCACCAAAACAACGGCCAATTTTTCCGAGTATACGATTAATGGGTTAGCTAGTCAATAGATAATTTATCACCTTGAGAGGCAAGTCGAAGGAGAAAATCCCGAGCTTCCCAGTGATCTTCGACTCAGTGTCGAAGGTTATGGAACCTCTTGCTAAATCCTCCAGCAACGGGATGGCGTCGCTCAACACCTCGGCCCCATCGAGAGCCAGCGTGGCGTTTATATATGAAGACCTCCGCGCCCTGACACGTCCGCCGTCGGAAGTCATGAACCCTAGCTTCCTCCCCCTGTACCCAATGGAGACTTTCAAGGATTCATAGTCGATAGAGTAGAAATCCTTGTTCCAGACCTTGACGGTCAGGTCTAGGGTTAGGTCGAGCGAAATTTGGGGGCTAGTGTGGAAGTGCAGGCCGCCAAGGCTGAGGCGGACGACGGAGAGTTTGGGATCAGACGGCCACAGGACATACGCCGCGGCGGCGAGGATGAGGAGGACGGCGGAGCAGGTTAGGCGGCGCCGGCAGCATCCGCGGTGGACGCAATTGGTGCGGTATGGGGGGAGTTGGGGAGGTAGGACGACGATGTATTGAGGTGGAGGATGGGGTTCGGGGAGGAGAGGACGGCGGATCGACGACGTGTCGGAACTCTTCGCCGCCGTCATCGGGTCGAGATGTAAGTCTATTGGTTTACTTCGTACATATATTTATTTATTATATAATTCGCCGACACTTTTGATATTTATGATTATGTTTTGTTATAGCCGATAAATTGTTTGAGATACAGGAATAGGAGGATTGAGGAAGAAGACGGCAATTGGTCTTGGTGAAAAAGTAGGGTCCCACACCTGCTTCCTTCTGTTTCTTTCGCTGCGGTTTTGTCCAAATTGATCTGAAAGCGCACTAGCGGTGTGAGTGCGATCTATTGTTAACAATGTGATGTAACTCATTTGTCTTGTTAGACTTCCTTTCTTCTTCACATGATCATCCAAGTTGACTTTCTATTCACTCCATTAGATTGGGTATATTCAGGTCATTCGATGATCCTAACCCCAAGCTCGTACTTCCCAATTGTTGTAGTGCAATCCAAGTTGCCTTCATTAATCCATTCTTCTGAATGAGTTGCTAACATATCGTCTGAGCTACATCTGACTCGAAACGAGTTATTCTTCCTATTGGCTTGCTTTATGAACTACTACACTTACTCGTACGATGGACGAGTCTATAGTATACATAGATAATTTTAAAATTATGAATAAAATAATCTCTAAAAAAGTAAGCTATCTGATCTCAGAGTGAAGATAAATCTTGAAGAAGGCACCCCTTCTTGACTTTGATTAGACTATTAATTCAAGTATGTGCTTTCTACGAAAAAGAAGCGAAGAAGTATGTGAAATCAACGTGCATTGGAATCATCTCATAACAGTGAATTGCTCAAACCTCGTTTACCGCTCTGTGGGTTACATTGACCCTAAAAGGCTAGCATAAAAGAAAACTTCAGTTAATCAGTATTCATTTAATTTAGGATGTTCTCATAAGTAGTTGTGACATTAATAGGTGTTCGTTGATCTCCAACCTTTTCCAAGAAAGAGTGTGTTCATTAGGGTAATTGGCTTCTACTCGGGTGAAGGTTTAAGCTTGCTCCTATCATTTTCTTTGCTTTGGATACCTTTATTTGAACCTAGTTTGTGGAACTATTATTAGGATTGATGGCGCCTCATATGGCAATAAGCAAGCATGGTTCCATATTTAAGAAAGAGAGAGAAAATGTGTTGAGCTATCAATGAACCTAGACGTGTGCATGGAGTTGCCCAAGTTACGAAGAACTGGTTTTCATAGAAGAATCGAAGATCTCAAGATTTGAAAACTGGTTTTTGAACCTACATAGCTTTTTGGAAGAATTTTGTATAGAACGCATCTTTCACTATTCTTAGATATGGTAAATGGCTACACGAGAAATACTTCAATGAGAAGACAGTGAGAAGATTATGAGAGTACTCGTGAGTTTAATTTATTTTGTAGTTAGTGCTCCAATTCCATGTTCATATTCCAGTGGCAGTTCATCACTTGAAATTGAAACACGTTCTTTGTAATTAATCTTTGGTGCTTGGGACGAACATCTGGTTGAAGGGATCCGTGTATCCAGCCTAAAGTCTACGTCGTTGTCGAAAGAGTAATTGAGTAGATGGAGTACAAAGTAGAGGTTAGGAAAATGGATTTTCTCTAGTAATTCCTATTTGTACGATTTGGCAAAACACTAAATAAAAGAGTTGTGAGAGAGAGTGTGGCGCTTTCTTGATAGTTCATTTACAATTACTGGCTTCCGCAAAATTTATGAACTTACATAGTTTGTAAAAGCGCAACTTTTATACAACTCTCAAATTTCAATAAACATGTTCTCAAAAATAAAACTAACATATATAAAGGCAAACTTCCCTTTTTTTTTTCCAAAATCTCACAGAAGGCAATTGCTTTCCAGACCTCCGCCATAAAAATCGGTCTGCAACTTCAACAAAACAAAACTCCCAACATCATCTTCAGGGCGGAGGGCTTGAGAGGCGTATACCGTGGACACGATTTTGAGGGGCCGCCAGCTGAATTTGTGGTCAAAACGAGGATCCACGCCAGTCCCGGTGGGTGGAGAGGGGTCTGAGGATGGCCTTGGCTAGGGCTTTTATTGTCAACGGTCTATTTTAGTATCTTCCAACTCCAATGAACCAAGTTCATGATCGTTGTAGCCGAATCCAATGATCTCTTTTAGTGGTGAATAAATGCGTTCTAAAATGACTGGGATACCACGGTCATTTCTCGACATAAAATTCTTTTTTAGTCATGCATTGTGAAATGACTACAGGACACCATGGTCATCTCTCCATAGGAAATGACTTCCCGAAAGTAATCACCATTTCTCGTCTGGAGATGATAAATCCCATGCTCATTTCTAAACAGGAAATGACTATTTCCGGAAACTAATGATCTTTTCTTGTCTCGAGATGACTTCCCCACGAGCAATGTGTATCATTTCTTGTCTGGAAAAATTCTACTGTTAAATGAAATAGTCATCTCCCATTAAGAAACGATCATTTACTCATACAGAAATAAGCATTTCAAGCGTGGTCATTGCCTACAGAAATAAGCATTTCAAGCGTGGTCATTGCCTAATGTTATTTCATGACAACAAATGATAAACACTAATAAGTATATTTTATTAAAGTGCTAAGGAAATATTAGCCATTTTTTGGCTAACTTGAGTTTGCTGGAAAATCCTTGTCATTAAACTGGATTACTGGACTGGGATGAAAAAGAAATTCTACCTCACCTAGTGAAAACCATCCAACTCACCCTCCTCTCGCACTCTGAGTCATGTCACCAAGACCTTCTTTCTAATACCTCGCACTCATCCCTCTAAATTCAGTTGTACATGGAGCCTATTTGGCAATGCCGAATTTGCAGTTTTTGAACTCAAATTGTGCCCAGTAGGAAAATGGTTCCAAGCATTAATAACCAAGCATTGAGTTCAGTAGTTTTTGTCAATTTACTCAAGTAATAAACAAAGGAGCATGTTATCATCAGAAACATTAACTTCTTCAAGAAACACGACAGCTGAATGAAGTGACTGATTAGATTAATCATGGTTGGAAGAAAAAAATAAATCTAGTTTCTAGAAGGAATATACTCTAGAAGTGGGATCAACAAAACTAATTAGAGTGCACAGAACATCACTTTCTCCATTCAGTACCAACCAACAAACGAAAATCAAAATTGCTAGAAAACAACGTTTGGATAAAACCAGAATGCCTTGCTTTTCAAAAACAATAAAAGAAACACAAAGGTAAAAAACAATAAAAGCAGTTTTTTACATTATTCAGTTTTCTAATGCTGAATGGACACAACAAACTTTAATACTTTAACAAACCTTAAGTTTTGTCTCATGGACAGCAAGAGAATTTGAATAGGCTTCTATTATGTCCTCATTCTTTGATGATTCCTCTTTGTTTAGTGGTCTTTTCCTGACCTGAAAGTTTTTTAGCATCATAAATCAGACTACAAAGTACAACATAGAAGCTGATGAATTACGTAAACCAAAAGATTGCTCAGAAAAACAATATTCTTGTCAAGTTAGTACGTGGTTACACATTTACAATACGCTTATTTTGCATTCAGCACTCTATCGTCATAAATAATTACCATCAAGGGGAGTAGCTAAAGTAAACATATATGTATACTAAACCAGCCCACAAGAAGGTATCTGCACTATAACAACCTGAACAAACCAGACACATACATACCACTACACTGACCTTGCAAGCTGCAACATTACTGGTCTTCAAGTTATCAGCTGCAAGGATATTCATGACATTGATCTGGTTGCAAGCCACGAGCCTTTTCTGTTTGCTATTATTTCCAAATTATGGATCAGAGTTAAGCTTCTTCTCCGTGAGAAATGATTCATCAGAGGACCAACGCTCAGACCACAAATTGAAATCTGTCTCCAGGATTTACACCCAAACAAGAAGAAAAGAACAAGGAAAAGGGATGGGGCAAAGAAAGTACATTGACAGTTGGCCAATCATCAGACAGACCAAATTTTATATTTGGAAAAACAAAGTATGCCTGAACTTAACAATATGCCAGATTCTAAAACAACAACCACCAGGCATGACACTATTCAGCTCTCTTTGAATTTCAAATGCATAATGATATGAATTCATTTCTATATACTGTAAATTTCCTAAACCCCAGGATGAAAAAAACCTTGCTCGAGTCATGCTATTACAACAAAATCACCTTTGCCAAGTGTCTGAACAAAATAACATGGACTACATGAAAATAACTTTAGACACCTCATTAAGCCATAAAATGTCAAAGTACCAGCATCAGCTCATCACCTGAGTGTTCATGACAACAATCTGGAAAAAGAAAAAGAAAAGGAAAAATAGAAAGAAAAGAAGAGAAAAACACAACAGAATTAACACAAATGGTAGAACTCCAAATCGTGATTTTTCCATCAAACCAAAATTTACTTTTGGCTCAGAATTCTTTTTAAGAAAAAAGGCAATTTTCTCAATAAAATTCTCAAAATATGTAAATGGCCCAGAACTGGAGAAACCATAATGTTTAACGAGTGTTGGTGCTACAAGCTACCTGATTTCAGGCTTGCAACCACTGGCCATTGGGAGATTTTTCCATGTAATGAATGTGGGACGGTAACAGATGGTTCAGCGACAACATACCAAATATTTGCTTTCCGAACCCACTAAATTTTCTCTCATGAACCAATAAACAGAAAAAATAATATAAACGAAAAAAGTGAATACATTTTCTCAATCTATCATAAGCATCTGTTTAGATGGAAGGATGGTGTAGCTAGACCAATTCACGCATACACCAATATGCTGAAAATTTTCATAGGATTACATAGAAATGCAAAGTGTTACTGGTAAAGATAAAAATTCTTAATAAAGATGCAAATTTGCAGACTTGGTCGGGCAAGCTTCGTAATTCATCGAGCTCTGAGAACAGAATCAAAGAATATAACTCAAAAAATCAATTGACACTAAACCAAAATCATTTATTTAGACAGCAGTCAGTATTTCGATATAGCTCCAATAACAAATGATAGCAATAATACAGGACATATAAACCGAAACTTGAGCACGAAAAACTCTTAATCTAAATCCTAAATGATCACCAATCAATGCCCAATTTTCTAGAGATGAAAAGCTCATCGATGTACTTAACCACTGGGGTCGCGAAAGTTACATAGTTCTGCATCTGAACCCTCGCCGATGTTTCATCTTCATTCAACTTATTCAACAGCTGCGCCTTAGTCGGAAGGGCATACATTCCGGCGGCAACAGCCTTCCTGATTGCCCACCCATGGTACGGAGCAAAAACCTGCGCGTAGGCTTTGGAAGCAGGGTCCTTGAGAGAATTCCCCTCTGAAGAAATAATGTGTTCGAACAAGACCCTGACCATGTCTATCCCGCGTTTGACCCTAAGCAGGTTCCTCGTGTGGCTCCCGGCCGTTCTCACGCGATTGGCGTCAATATCGCCATCCACCATTACCGGCAACACTGGAATTGATTTGGAAGCCTCCTCAAGATCGTGCACCTTGGCCACATAATCGAGTTCTGCGAACTTGAAGGCGATGCCTAAGCATCGGAAAAGGGGGGAGACGAGCGAGCAGGCCCGAGAGAAGGGGCCGAGCTCGAGGCGGGCTTCTTCTCCGGCAGGAAATTGATTTATCGCGCCGGCTAATTCCTTGAAGGCGTCAGCCATTAACCTCAGAGTTTTTGCTTCCTCCATGTGATTTGATCGGAAAGCGAGAAAGCTCTTCGATCACGATAAATGGGAATACATCGGAGGCGTTGGATCGACGCGATTCCAAAAGGAAAATAAATGTAACGCGGTCATTATGGTTTTTCCTTTTCCAATATGCTTGAGTCAAATTAAAGAAAAACATAATCTACCGTTTTGTGGCTCACTTATGGAGTCATCCACTCTTATTCACCAATAGTATATTGACAGTTGTCTTACAATAAATATAATTTAGACAGCTGTCGACACATTAAGTGGTTGATGGCTTAATAAGAAGAACTGAGGACTCCATAGAATTTTTGAATCTACAAATTACAAATAACTAAAATGAACTGACACAAAAACTTTGAAGTCATTAGATGATTTTTTTTTATGGAGCCATCAATCACTTAATTTAATGACACATATCTAAAGTGTACTTATTACAGGACACGTGTCAATACACTATTTGTGAATAACTGTGGAGGACTCCGTAAGTCGAGTCATCTGACGGCTCCATAGCAAAACTATGTATTGACATACAATAAATTAGGAAAAATCTATTAATTGCAGTGTTCTAGAAGTAGCTAGGTGCCCGACCGACGCCTAGCGCCTAGTCGGGGCCTATAAATTATAATAAATATATTATTTTTTATTTATTTTTTCAATTTCACTAATGAAATTATAACTTGTAATTAATAAATTCATATACCTAAGTCCCAATAATATTATTAATATTATATTATAAAAAAACTCCAAGTCAAAATAAATACATAACCACAATATAACTTAATCTCATTGTAATTTTATCAAACACATTATCTATATGTTATGTTTTAAATATTACAAAACATAAGATAAATATAAAAAATTATAAAATAATAAATTATAAGATTTATTATTTAAACTAAATGCATTTAGTTAAAAAAAATTATTGTAAAAACCGCCTAGAACCCGCCTCAGCCGCCTAGTCCCGCCGAAACCGCGTAGCCGCCTAGACCGCCTAGCTTCGCCTAGGCCCGACTAGGAGCCGCCGAGCCCGCTCGACCGATTTTTATGGCCGATTTGGCCAAATCGTAGGCGTTGTACCGGCGCCTAACGCCTAGGCGGCCGCCTAGGCCGACTTTTCGAACACTGATTAATCGATGTATCTACTTCTATATATTCTTGTGAGAAAGAAGTAAAAATATTTTTTTAATTTATAAAAATAATACATCCCTTATAAATTCTTATTATTTAAAAATAAAAAATATTTTCAACATAAATTCAACAATTTTTTAGAATAATTACTAAAATATTGTGACCAAATAAGTTTCCACAAAAATCTTCACCATTGTAACGTTTATTCATTCATATTTTTTTAATTGTTCACAATCATATATATATATATATATATATATATATATAATTACTAGTTAATACATTTAATAAAATATTTAATAAACCTATTTAATTTTTCTCCAAAATGAGTTACATTTTCTTAACAAATTACTCATTAATTGTTTAAACCGCTGCATCGTTAATGTATATATTTTTATTATTTATTTTTTGGATCAGTTACTAAATTAATTCTAAATTTGGTAGTAAAATATTCAAATGTGTAACGGCTAATGTTGGAACTTAAAGTTGATTGCACATTCACAGTTGTAACCGCTATATTTGGTTGCATTATGAGTAGTAAAATATGATTGACACATATTTTTAAAAAAAAAAAAATCAGAAACACCAATAAAATTATGTTATTCATTTTACTAATGTAAACGTTGCATGGTTAAAATAAAATTTAAATCTCAATTAATCTTGAATGATAAAAATAACTTAAAGAAAAGTAATAATTTTTATATGATAAAAGTACATGTCTAATTAATAAATACAAACAAAAACATTTTTTATATATGTTCAAACGCAGATGATCAAATACTAATTACCATAAATACTGAAACGCATGATTAGAAGTTAGACTACTTCCCAGTTAATACCGAAAAGTGCAGGGCATCAAAAATTCTAATAAGTAAATAAATATAAGGGTTAATTGCTAAATAAACTTTAACTTTTTTGCCTTTGGCTATTTTATCCCAATCTTTGGGTAATTGCAATATAATCTCGACCTCAATTTACTTATTGCAAATTTGAGTGCAGAGTGATTGGTTTTAGGGATTTGTGGATTGATTTTGTGTCCAAGTCTTCTATTGACACGGGCTTTTATGTCATCCACGTGTTAGGTTCGATATACTGTACGGAACAGAGTTTACAGCGGAATTTAAAATTTTATAAGTAAAATATTTGAATTTTACCTTCATTCAAAAATTAGTGTGACCTTTTAGGTTCACAATTAATACTAGTAGTGGGTTTACAACTCTTTGTAATTTGAGTTATTCATATTAACTATTATTCTTGAATTAACTCTTTAATTCAAGAACCCACATATCATGGAAACATTTAGCAAGTAGCATGAATCCAGTATTAAGTGAATAGCGAGTAAACATATTTCGATTACAAGTGCATACATGTAAAATCCTTTCGACATCCAATTTTTCGATTAAATCTTTGGGTATGATTTTGTCGAAACCCAAATTGATTTAATAACTATGATTGCATTTCAAGTTTAGTAATTCGTTTATGAATCTTTAATCATCCCGCCTTGGCCAAGGACTTTGAATTACTAACTATGGAACACATAGGAAATTCACTTATCTTCATAAGTATCGAATCCTTTGTTGGCCACTGACAAACTTCCATACATATTAATATAATACCTAAAATATCTCTTTATACTATTGTGCTAGCAATCAAAAGGATAAATCAAAGTAAAATATAATATGCACAAAGTTACCATCGTGCCTCAAGTCTAAGGATTAATCATGTACTATTGTAACACGAAAATTCTTATTCGACATGATAAACTTTCATTAAGAATTTTCATACGGTCATGTTCAGTGAACTTGTTCTCTAACAAGCACCCACATATATGTATTTGCGTCTCACGCTAATGTTGATGGAATGCAACATTCTTATCTAATAAGCATACATACTATGTGCAAGTCTTTTCCGTATTTATTCGATATCCCATCTCGAAACATCCAACGACTTGGAACTGTATTTAAGATCACACCTTTCAAGATATGTTCCATGATCACCATCTCTATGCGCAACCATATCTTATAGCTATAAGTGATCTAGGGATTTTATCTTAAGTGCAAATATGATAAATGCTTACTCTTAAAATAAAGTAATACCTTATTATTTAATATAATTCCAATAGATTGTATTTACAAGTAGAATACGTCCAATTTGATTGGAACGCCGGGTATACTACTCTAACACCACGTAGTAAGTTGACAATGTCCACGTATATAATGTATATCCACGCACAAAGCCAAAAATTCCACGTCAATGTAAGCTACCGATGATGAGTCTCCTCCTAGATCTGGAGTGAACCGGTAAATATGAGATCCGTTCTGTTCGAACCGCCTTCAAATCGACCAGTTTTTTGAAGGTCCAACCAGTTTTAAGTTCAACTTGCAATAAGTAAATTGAGGTCGAGATTACATTGCAATTACCCAAAGATTGAGATAAAATTGTCAAACGCAAAAAGATTAAAGTTTATTTAACAATTAACCCGAAATATAAAGGTTTGATTATTCTAAAACAGAAACAAAAAAAAATGACAGTTACGATTACAGAACACCATACAAATTAAAACACTTGGTGTTATATAACATCTCACTTAACCACCATTTTATAAAAGATATATATACAAAAATAAAGAAGTATACTATATTTTATAAATAAAAATAAATTATCCCTAAATTATAATTAAAAATAACAAAATTATTACTATTTATTATTTAGTATTGTAAACTCATTATTTCTTAAATATTATATTAGTTTTAATAAAATTATTCATATTCAGCATAAAACATGTTCATTTAGTTCTGAAAAATCTCACTATTTACATAAACATACTCTCGAAATCTCAATATTTACATAAAACATACTCTCGATTTGAGATTCCGTCAAAGTAACCTATCACAATAAACCCAAATCCAACCTTCTTCGATGGATTCTGTCAAACCCTCTTTCATCGATTATACACTAACTCAACAAACCCAAATACAACACTCTTAACTTATTAAGCCTAAAATATCTAACTATTTTATTAATACATTTATTCTCTTTTGAATACACTACTAATTTTTCTCTCAAATGCACACTCAAAATGCTACACCAATCGACATATTTATAGTATACTAAGTTGGTGACCACTATACCATTTAAACAATTCTACAATTGTCTTGATAATTCTAATAGTATACAAATATTTTATTTAATTATCTTAAATGTACCACTTGTAAAATATCTAAGCATCAAAGCTAATTTAATCCCAGGCCCATCTAGAAGATTCCCCAATTAGTATATCAGTAATTAGTATGTAGTAAAAGATTCCCCAATATGCCATTCCTCAACATGTGTTGTCGTAATGCTACTAATTTTAGTATATTAGTAATTAGTATTTAGTAATGATAGGGATTATAATACCGACTCGGTCCGATTTAGGGGAGACCCATAGCGCCAAG